TTTTTTTGATACTTCCTAGTTTGCTTCACATATAGACCTGTTAATTTGTATGTTTGCCAAAGTTCCTCTGGTTCATATTTTTTACACTTGTTAGTTTGTTTTACAAGTAGATCTGTTTAACTTATACATTTGGCAAAGTTCCTCCAGTTTAAATATTTTTTTTTTTACATTTGTTGGTTTGCTTTATATGTAGACCTGTTAAGTTATATATTTGGCAAAGTTCCTCTAGTTTACATATTTTTTTTTTTTTTTTTACATTTGTTAGTTTGCTTTATATGTAGACCTGTTAAGTTATATATTTGGCAAAGTTCCTCTAGTTTACATATGTTTTCTACACTTCTTAGTTTGCTTTAGATGTAGACCTGTTTAACATATGTTTGGCAGAGTTTTATTAATTGAATTTTTTTACACTGATGATGCTGTCTACTAACGATGGCGTAGTGTTATCGTGATTACCAGTGTGGTAACTGTATTTGGCACTTAAGCTTAAAGTATTCATAAAAAAAAGCTCATTCGGTATTCTTAGAAAAATAAATCTAATACGAACAGCAAAGTAAAATTAAATGAACACAAGTGAACAAATAATCGAAGTATTACTCATAATTCGCAGTTTGGCTATGCTGGCTGTTGAAATGGAGAGAAGCTTTCCAAACATGCTCCGCAGAAGACAAGTACAGCAAGAATTATAATATACCACACTTTCAACTCAGAGAAGAAGTATTCCATAAACTATTCTAAATAACGTATAGAAGGAAGAATCCCCTCCAACTCAAATTTATCTGTACAAGTAATTGTGTTTTCTGTTATCCTTTGAAATGGGCTCCCCCCACACACGGAGTGGACACAGATGAAGGGACAAAGTGACACAAGCTCTTAACTGTTACTGTATGTAACCTTTACCTAAACAAAAGGATTAGCACATGTCTCGACATACGATATTCGGTTAACGAGGCTATTATAACTACATGCAATACACCTGTACGAAAATTTAGAAAAATTACACGAATATACCTGACTAAAGATATATTCGAAACTATTTATAGCAGGAAGAAATTATTAGCTATTCAGCTACGACACCAGTTTTAACTATGTAAACATATAGATTTTTCCAAGTAGTTGACACACTTTATGTAACATGTAAAAAAATACATTAGATAATAACAGGAAATAGAATCAGATAAGAAATTAACAAATAATTTTTTATTCAAATAAACGAAGTAGGTATTTTTCACAGAAAACGTTTGAGTAATTATTTATATTTTATTAAATGAAATGTTATGTTTTTGATTACTTCACGTGTCTGTTTGTTTTTATTTCTATATTTTTTGCCGCTAACCATTATAATACCTCAACGGCTGAAAGAGCGAGCATTTTCAGTGAAGGGATTCGAACATAGATTGCGACTTGAGTGCCATAATTAATCAGGCCTAGCAAAGTTCTTACCTGTCTAACGTAATATTTATGCATATACTATATGTCTACGCTAAATATAATTTCTACTTGTACTTTGCTCTTTATCTTTCAGACACAGTACATTTATGTTGTACATATATATCAAATTCACAATTTTCTCGAGTGAAACATCATTCTCAATGGAATTTAATATTGAAGAATTATACTCGAAATGCAAATAAAAACTGAATTCGAATTTGATATAAACTGATGTTTTCACAAAAGACTACTTTTAAACTTTTTAGTGAAACATATAAAAACATCTCCAAAATACTAGTTTCAAAATGTTTTATAAACAAACTACTAAACGTTACTTAAAAACAGAATATCTTTTCTGAAAACTAAAAATCTTCCTTAAAATACAAAATGCATGTTCAAGTTTTCTTTACCTTTTGAATTCAGTTCGTTAAATTCAAATTCTAGTTCAGAGAGATATTCTAATTTGTAAAAATGCAAAAAATAAACTGAAGATAATGTGATTTTTCATCTATTTTTCAATGCTTGAACTGCTTTAGTAGATTTTGATGTACACACATATGGAGAGCTGAATATGTTAGTTGAAAACAATTTTTAATATGCAAACAAGCAAGTTACGTAACAACCACAACCGATATAAAGTCGGGTAGAACAGCATAATTCAGAACTACATTTGAACTTTTTTTGGCATTTCATTGGCAGCGTGATGCCCTCGAAAATTAATAGTTTGGGGAAGCATGTAACAGCCCTTTCCGATGTAAAATATTCATGTACTCAGATCATGGAAAACAAAAGAATATGGATCTACTTAGGACACCCTGTACATTCAGAAATAGACCTGCAACAAGTCGTATCTCGATCCTGTTAAGCAAAGTACGGCGTCTTGTAAAAGGTAAGAATCCAAGAACACAAAGGTCAGTAACAAAAACCATCCACGCGTCCTAGGAAACAGTACGCAACATAGTCAAGAAGGATCTCCATCTGGAAAAGTGATACAAGTTACGTGTACACAAGATGTTTCCACGACATATCCGTTTAACCGATATATATCTTAAGTAGTTGGATAATGAAACAGGTATTCGTGCTATTCCAGATGAAGAAATGTCAGCAAAGTCGTTGGACTCACTGCCTATGTAATTCTATGTAATCGGACTGTTGAAATAGGCACTGAGAAACTGTCCTCCTTTTACACTAGACAGATTACAGAAAGTAATGAGGAAGAAGAGAGTTTTTTGGAAAGGACAGCTTTACGACGGAGTTTTTTCCAATGGAAAATAAACTGCACGGTTGAAAGATAGAGCATGATGGGATATGGGGACATTGATTGTAACGACGAGGTGAGAATCCAAAATGGGTTTAATATAACGTACTCAGCCTCTGTATAATATGTATCCAAAGTATAAAACTTTTCGTCATTTGAGTAGTACTAGCGTTTTTGCAATATATTAATGAAACGTCTATCTTGACTGTGAGTTGTGTATTGTTGTTGTTGTAATTTAAATTATAACATCTGCAAGACACTCACGGTATTTTTGACTTGATCTTGGATGTTAAGTTTTACTAAGTTCAAGTGATAATAAAAATAGTTGATCTTTTTTCCACAGGTGACTCTGATGTTGAATAATTCGAAAACGTCAAGTCAAGTTTACTGGGAGTAAGTCCTCAAATTTCTATCAGTTTCTCTCTCTGTTTTATTAAGTAAATGCTCAACAAGATAAAATCTTATTTTCTATTCACTTTCGAGCCTAATTGTAACAGAAATTGTTAAAGCTTTTACATTGAGTAACATGATTGTTTTAGAACGTTCGCACAAAGCTACACATAGCCGTCCTTAATTTTGAACTGTTGAATTAAAGGAAGGCAGCACCCACCACTATCTGTTTGGCTACAGGGAAGGCAGCACCCACCACTATCTGTTTGGCTATAGGGAAGGCAGCACCCACCACTATCTGTTTGGCTATAGGGAAGGCAGCACCCACCACTATCTGTTTGGCTACTCTTGCCTGACCGAATAATTGGAAGTAACTATCATGCGCATGTGATGTGATTCTTTTAGTGCACCCACGGACCAAAAGCGTGAAGCGCGCTTCAGCCGCAAACCATGAACCGTTCGGCTCACAGTACCAATATACTAAACTGTAGCCACACCCGGCAGAGAAGCATGGTTATTTAGTGGTTATATTTTTAGACCCAGCCTTTACTTACAATAGTTATTGTTTGAAACTATTCAAATCGAACAAAAAGTTTAGTTATTTGTTTCTATGAGCGAAGTTGTGCTAGGAAAAACGAAATAATATTTTTCGCAAATCTTTGTGTCTTTGTTTGTTGTTAAGCGCAAAGTTACACAATGGGCTATCTGTGCTGTGCCCACCACAGGTATCGAAACTCGGTTTCTAGCGGTGCAAGTCGTTAGACTTCCTGCTGAGCCACTGGAAGGATTTTTTGCGAAGCATATCACATACTATATTTAACTTATATATTATTCAGGAGAATAATGGTTTTTAAACTTAATTATTAGTTTTCCGTGCTGCTGATTTAATTTAAACGTTTAAAATAACAAATATTTTCATGAAAATATATTATGATTATTAAAATATTCAAAGTATTATACTTCATTCATTAAAACTTCATAACAAAATACACGTTATTCATTCAATAATTGCGAACAAAAACAATCTGTGACAAAACATAAACTTTCTTGTGATAAATGGGATATTTAATTTTATGAGATTGTGAAACGAAAAGAACTGATTTAAGAAGTAAGTCATGTTAATACTAGCTTGAGCACTTGAAACACAATTAAATTTTTTGGCTTGATCTGACATAGCTTTGAGATCAAACAGGTATGATCTAATTCTGATGAATTGGTACCATTGTTAATGGTCAAGAAATCAATATTTCTGGCCAGTTTTTGCACGTTTAATTGCTTATAACTGTGGAATACGTTGATTCCACTTACTGTCAACTCGGTAACTTCACTTCATCGTCAGATTAATGGTTAAGACTACAACAAACTCAAACATGTGACCAGAAGACCACGTGGCTTTCACGAATAAGCTGTCAATATCAGGGTTTGCTTGAAGTACCAATCTTACATTCATACCGGAAGAGAGTTTTCACTGAACCGTTCCTCTCTTCAGAGCGACGACAGCCTCACTTGAGATCACAATCGATATTCGAGAAGACTTTCGCCCATAAGATAAAAGTCTTTTTTTTGGCCTGAAAGCCAGTCGAACGCGACACTAACTTGCAATCACCTCGACTGTAGTGGAGAAGTAACAAAAACGTGTTTGTTTATATTGTTCAAGTTTACATAGGGAGCAAAATTCTCTTACATAAGTTCGTTTACAATACTCGGGGTTTACCTGTAATAAGAAATTCTTCTATGTTTGTTTATTGATACGAGTTGAATATATTTAAGATGCGGAGGTCTCAATCACGTGTTTGTTGGTATTAAATTAATATAATTAAGAAGCTGAATGTTCATGCATGTTTGTTCGCTGATATTAATGGGTACATTTGAAATTTGGAAATTTCATATAATAATATTTTTTTATAATAGTTGGAAAAACTTGAGATTCTGGATTCTGATACACTGTTTGTTCATATTATTTAGGTATATTTAGGATGCAGAGTTCAGTGTTTCCCAATATCACCGATGTTAAACACTTTTTTCATAGTACTTCCCCTTTGTTCAGTGTTTACTTTTAATGAAACAGAAACTGCTTCTCCCAGCAACTTACAAACAGAATGCAGAATGGAATACACATATTCAACATTTTCTTTGTAGTACATTAGAGTAATTAAGAAATTACTTATTGACACAAATTCCATGGTTACCATTTTACTCTTTTTTTTTTTCGCCTTTTATTAACAAAAAGTCACATAGTGAAGAATTGTTTTCGTTAAAATTGAGGTTAAAGCAAACATCAAGCTCTAGTCTGAAGTTGTAACTGGTTTGAAATGCTTGAACATTGTGAATTTTATAACCAAGTATATATAACAATTAGAGGAGTAGAAGTTATTTAAAGTTTGTGAATTTTATAACCAAGTATATATAACAATTAGAGGAGTAGAAGTTATTTAAAGTTTGTGAATTTTATAACCAAGTATATATAACAATTAAAAGAGTAGAAGTTATTTAAAGTTTGTGAATTTTATAACCAAATATATATAACAATTAGAGGAGTAGAAGTTATTTAAAGTTTATTTATAACAAGCTGAAGTACCCACCTTTTGTCCGTGTTATGAATTTAAGAAACTGTGGTGGTGAATGCTATGATAAATAACACAAAAATCCTAACTTTCACACAATTTATTTATAACATAACATATTATTACAGTATTCATCATTACCTCACCAAAAGTTCTGTATAAGCTTTAAGAACTCACTATGTATATATTAGATCGTCAAGAATTTAATGTCGCGTTTTGAAACACTTTCATTAACCACCCCCCAAAAACGTACATCACGTATAATAGTTATACAAACCCCTATACGTCACGT